TGATCTTCACTACACTCGATCTTCACTACACTCGATCTTCACTACACTCGATCTTCACTACACTCGATCTTCACTACACTCGATCTTCACTACACTCGATCTTCACTACACTCGATCTTCACTACACACGATCTTCACTGAACACGATCTCCACTACTCGCGATCTTCACTACACTCGATCTTCACTACACACGATCTTCACTGAATACGATCTCCACTACTCGCGATCTTCACTACACACGATTTTCACTACACACGATTTTCACTACATACAAATTAGTTACAGTGGTTGCAAAAACATTCATTGTATAAATGGAATATGTAATTAGGAACACAAGAGTTCGATCAATGATTCTAACACGAATCTTATATATATATATATATATATATATATATATATATATATATATATATATATATATATATATATATATATATATATATATATATGTCGTACCTAGTAGCCAGAACGCACTTCTCAGCCTACTATGCAAGGCCCGATTTGCCTAATAAGCCAAGTTTTCACGAATTAATTGTTTTTCGACTACCTAACCTAACCTAACTTTTTCGGCTACCTAACCCAACCTAACCTATAAAGATAGGTTAGGTTAGGTTAGGTAGGGTTGGTTAGGTTCGGTCATATATCTACGTTAATTTTTACTCCAATAAAAAAAATTGACCTCATACATAATGAAATGGGTAGCTTCATCACTTCATAAGAAAAAAATTAGAGAAAATATATTAATTCAGGAAAACTTGGCTTATTAGGCAAATCGGGCCCTGCATAGTAGGCTGAGAAGTGAGTTCTGGCTACTAGGTACGACATATATATATATATATATATATATATATATATATATATATATATATATATATATATATATAGATAGATAGATAGATAGATAGATAGATAGATATATATATATATATATATATATATATATATATATATATATATATATATATATATATATATATATATGTCGTACCTAGTAGCCAGAACGCACTTCTCAGCCTACTATGCAAGGCCCGATTTGCCTAATAAGCCAAGTTTTCCTGAATTAATATAATTTCTCAAATTTTTTTCTTATGAAATGATAAAGCTACCCATTTCATTGTGTATGACGTCAATTTTGTTTTATTGGAGTTAAAATTAACGTAGATATATGACCGAACCTAACCAACCCTACCTAACCTAACCTAACCTATCTTTATAGGTTAGGTTAGGTTAGGTAGCCGAAAAAACTTAGGTTAGGTTAGGTTAGGTAGGTTAGGTAGCCGAAAAAACTTAGGTTAGGTTAGGTTAGGTAGGTTAGGTAGTCGAAAAAACATTAATTCATGAAAACTTGGCTTATTAGGCAAATCGGGCCTTGCATAGCAGGCTGAGAAGTGCGTTCTGGCTACTAGGTACGACATATATATATATATATATATATATATATATATATATATATATATATATATATATATATATATATATATATATATATATATATATATATATATATATATATATATATATATATATATATATATATATATATATATATATATATAGATAGATAGATAGATATATATAATTCACTTGGGAAAGGAAGTTTAAAAATTGACTCACCCAAGGATCATGTTACACATTGAATGGTCCCTGCTACTGAAGGCACTAAAGGCATCGTTTCACTAGAGAACTTTTTTAGCATTGTTGTTAACCGGAGCCCAACCAGGGTTTTACAGTCCACCCGACAACACTCTTGCCTTACGGTAATAGTGTTCACTCTCTTACGCCCCAGTCAGATCACGATGATATCACAAAGGTATGTTATTTACGATAACATGAATGTCCTGAAATCATCTAACAAAATTAAATATTTCATGTTTTACAATTAATTTTTTTGTAACCATTGCGAATAAATCATGTAATATTTTTTTTTCAATTCACAAGCAAAAAATAGAATAAATCGGGTAATAAATTTGGTTTGTAATTAAACGGAAATAGAGTATGGATCGGAGCGGCTGGAATAGCATCGAATTTATATGACAGGTTGAGTAGTCTCCTAGCAATTATTCTCTCGTAATCTTAGTTTATTTCCATATTTTAACCATGTATAAGAGACTCTTGTCTCAGTTTATTCGGTGAATGTTGCCTTTATTTTATCGCAGGAAACATGCCGAAGAGTGTAAGGCATCGTCACCTGGCACGTATAGTATAGATGGTGTATGTGTGTGTGCGTATAGATTGTATAGTATAGATCGTAAACCGGTTGTACAGTAGACTGTATGCTATGCCACTGTGTATTCACCTAGTTGTATTCACCTGGTTGTGCTTGCGGGGGTTGAACTCTGCCCTTTCGGCCCGCTTCTCAACTGTTAATCAATCAACTTTTTTTCTCCTACACACACACACATACACACACACACACACACACACACACCACTGGGATGTTAGAGTATCAACATGAGTATTAATGACACCTCGACAGGGAAAAATTACTGACCGAGCAACCAACTTGTAGACTCATCGTCCTCACCAGAACAGACGATGGGTCACAACAACGTGTCTGAAGATATGATGACCACACCAAACCAGAAGATGAAGAGACGACCACGTTTCGGTCCGTCCTGGACCATTATCAAGTCTTACGTGAGTTTCGACGACCGAAACGTCGCCGTTTCTTCATCTTCTGGTGTGTGTGGCATACTTATCAGTGCCTCAAGTCCTGAGTGTGATCGAGCACCTGACAACGACGTGGACAAAGACACTGTAAACCACATTTCTCTCGATATATAGTTTCGTCAGGAAAGAAATCATTAACACAATGAAAGTGCAATAACGTGATACACTGCTTATTGAGAAAATCCTTGTAGCAGGATGGTGGGAGGGCGGGAGCGCCTGCGATGACCTAGGATAAACTTGTTCAATCCTGCCTCGTTCCTCCAAGTACTTTCTAAACTTTAAATAATTCTGAATAATTCTAGTGTTTTAGCTCCATCATCAATTAGGTTTAAAGCGATAAATCTTTCTTAATATCATGTTTTTTTTCCTCAACACGTTATCTAATTAACAACTCTCTGCCTGCACACAAATGTTGACTCAGGTCGTTACTTATTCTGATACTCTCCAAAATTATGCAAAGCTGGTTAGAGGTTGTGTAGATTATTTATGTATAACAGGATCCGTGGTTGATTTACAAGTTCCACTTCTTATGGGGAGCTGTTGGCAGAGGAGTAATTGTGACAAACTGGCAATTGCTTGGTAACGGGTTCGAGCCTATATATTATATTTTTTTCTGGCGTCTCTCAGGCGAAAAGGAGTTTTTTTCCATGTTATCACAAATCACTTAAAAAAATCCTACAATAATAATATTGTTTTATATAGGTAACATATGCATTAGCCTTTCACCTTTTTTGGACAAATATTTTCTATTCGAATTTTCACAGCATTTACTGATATATTTACCTCATAAGAATGACCAGAGTATTGTTAACAAATGAGAGCAAATAATATGATTTCGCTAACATATTTACTTGGGCAATAACCAAGTATTTCGTTGTTAAGAAAGACAAAGGAGAAATATGAATGAACAAGAAAAATGAGGACTAATTTCCAATAAGTAATCCTAGTTAAATTCATGATTGTTTGGCTGGGTTGAGCGAGATGCTGGGCTCTACATAATGGAAAACCATATGACTAACCTCGTGGAGTATATGGCTGGAGAAATTGAGTCAAATTACTGCAGGGGTCAACAGAAGCACACAAGGGATGACGTTCAAACAACGGGTTTATCATGCAGAAATATATTCATCCTGTGTAATAGGGGATTAACCCATACGCTAAAAAAAACCCGCCGCATATATCAATGAGAGGGAACTCCGAAACAGGTTTTTATAGAACTCTTTAATAAAGCCTAAGATGGTAAGTTATCTACACCAGTTTTCCGCCAAGCAAAATTGCTTTCTGCCTCACTTCAGAGAACCGTAATATAATATCGAGGAAGCTATTTGGAGGGAAGAGTGGAGTGGGGTGCGGCCGCGAGGGCTGACATCGCTTTATCTCCAGCTCATATTTACCAAGTCCTCTCACACACTTATTACCCACTGAGAAATGATGTTAGTTCCTTCGTGGTGGTTTTAATCTTGCCTTAAAATTGGACGCTTGATGCAGTTATAGGTAAGAATATATATACATATATATATATATATATATATATATATATATATATATATATATATATATATATATATATATATATATATATATATATATATATATATATATATATATATATATATAATTGTGTGTGTGTGTCTAACACACACACACACACATATATATAGTGGTGTGCCACAGTGTCGTGGTACTGGGGGTGAAGGTGTGTGTTTGGAGTGGTTTGGTAGCAGTGTAGGCGGAAGGGTACCGTTGGGATAATAGAGGCTGAATAACCGTGCAATAGTACCGGGGGTACGGGTGGTTTTAAGGGCAATAACGAAAATATGGTTGCAAAATTGAGTCCTTAGAGAGGAGTGAAGTGTGGGAAAACTCCTCCGGCAAGAATCACATTGTTGAAGCAGCGATTCAAATCCAGTTGCATCAAATTCACGAGGAATACCAACTACAAGGAAGGAAGCCACCAATTGTAATTTTAAAATATAAATAATATTGAATATAGAATATCACGCCAATTACATAATATAAGAATGAAGGTAACTGCAGAAGACCTATTGGCCCATACGAGGCAGCCCCATATTTATATCCACCCAATCTCATATTTGAGATTGTGTTAGACAAATATATTTAAGCATATATATTCAAGCGTAGGTCAGACAAATATATTTGTCTAACCTACGCTTGAAACCATCAAGGGATCCTATTTCTGTTATGCATAATAGAACTATAATATTATATATAATTATACTACCGTATAGTACGTAAGTTATAGAAATAGATTCTGAGATCCACTTTTCCCTTTCGTGTGTGTGTACACGACATGAAAGGTGGTAGTTACCTGCTGTTTTCTGGATCCCTGGGAGGGGCTGAGACACGGTGTGGAGCAGGAGGCAGGACAGCGTCCCAACTACCACCACCAGGTGACTCTGCTCGCGCCCACGGCTCCCCATCATCTGAAAAATATCAAAACATAATATATATCTTCCTCTTGCCTTCATGGGTTAAATGTAGAGATGTGTGTGTGTGTGTGTGTGTGTGTGTGTGTGTGTGTGTGTGTGTGTGTGTGTGTGTGTGTGTGTGTGTGTGTGTGTGTGTGTGTGTGTGTGTGATGGACGCAGGGGGGCTAACTATATACTAAAAGAGAACTACCTACTCTCAGCAGTAGGACGAAAATGGTGTGATTGAGGGACAATCAAGACGAAAGAGGATATGACTGATGAGCTCAAGATAGAGGGTAACTTTAATATGAGAGGTATAGACATGTTTGAATATAATTAGAGAGATACAACTGGACTTCGGCTTCATGATGACATCTGCAGAAGACGCAAAGCTCATGAGATGGATTCATACAAATATTGATCGTTACAGAGGGAGTTAAGCGTTGCTCTTAAGCCCCATTTCCAGATTCAAGAAGCAGTTACGCAAGCACTTACGAAGCAGTACATCTTTTCTCACTCTTTTGCGGCTTTGTTTACAATTATTAAACTGTTCATGAGCTCCGAAGCACCAGGAGGCTGTTTATAATAATAACAACAGTTGATTGAGAACTTTTCACGCTTGTAAACTGTTTAATAAATGTAACCAAAGCCGTCAAAGATTGAGGAAAGATGTACACGTTCGTAAGTACTTGCGTAACTGTTTCGTGAATCTAGTCCCAGGTTCCTAAGGCCTGACGTACAGGCTCTGTGGTAGTGCTGGAATTCGATGATGATGATGATGCACTGAAGAAATTGTATAAAAAGCCCAATAAGACCGTTAACTCAGCAAATAGTGAACGAGAAGAATGCTGCACAAGGAGAATCACTTCCTGGTGTCAAGGAACGAGTTGAAGTTGAAATAACATAAATCTTGTCACCTGAGGCCTACATAAAATGAACAGAAATGAAGCTGGTTTGAGAATTGTTATGAACTGGGAAACCTCGTTTCTTATAGCATATAATAATTTTTAAAATGTTTGAAGAAAAGCTAAAAAAAAACTCAGCCTTACAAAACTGTAAGCATGAAGAGCCAAGGCAGAGACATGGTCGGCACATGTAAAATACTTACAGACCTAAGAAAGTGGGCAGACAACATAGTTTCGAACCCTGTCTTCTCAATGAAAACAATGGTCTCACAAGCGAGAACATTATTTTAGACCGACAAGTATAACGCTAACGCAACTTTACCAGATGATATAAAGCCAGAGGGTCTTCAGTGTGTTCAGCATATGCCTCCAGGGCACAGAGGTCACCAGGGTACAGCAGAGAGGGACCTAGCAATGCTTGTATCAAAATATCTTATATTTTAAGTCTCGAGTTTGTACTTTTCTCACATGTTCCCCGTGTCTACGGACGGCTCTATGAAGCTACTGGCTGTCCGTGGTGTACATAGCGTGACACAAGCGTTACCATTATGTAAATATCGGCAACTAAAAATAGTAGTAGAACTTAAATGGCAGTCAACTCAAAAAAAATGGTTTATGTCATGCAATAAACCATTTCGTACACAGGAAAAAGGTCTTTTATCGCTACCATTCTGATGTACAGCGCAAGTGTGGTAACTCTCACCCATAAACATACGTGTAAAAGCACTGAATATTTTGTACAGTAAACGTCGAGGAGAGTGGCAGCAATGTTTACAAAATGGTAAATGTATAAGTATTTACGGCTTGTTCGGGGGGAGGGGGGGTCAAAGTTCAACCAAACATGCAGGGGAAGAGGATAGTGCTGGTAGACGGCTGGTCGCACAGCTGTCTACCAGCCGCACACAAATGTACTAGCTTACCTGACCAGCCATTGACAGAAGGAAAAAAGACAAGCGCTTTACGTCCAGAGTGAAAGCATCGAGAGTGTATAAAAGCACACAATCACCACTTTGCTGCGCCTGCCTGCCCTTTCGCTTTCCACTAAACATACTTGCACACTTAAGCTTTTTACTGGCATTTTAGCCGCATTCTAGAGAGCAAATAAACTGCAATGGTGCTTTTACAACAGAAAATTCGACGTTCACTCTGCGACAGAATGTCGAAAATCACTATTGACCAAACTGGAGTGTACTTTCCAGGCTTTCAGACCCTCCAAAAAGTTGCGAGAAAATAGTAGAAGGTAATTACTAAGATGTGAATGTAGTCGCTGCGATATTAGTCTCACGGTCAAGCCTTGTAGTATCTCAAAAAATTACTTTTAATAGCAAATTCGAGTATTGTGAACAAAACGAAGTTGCAGTATCACTCAAATTTAAATACTGAGTTAATAATTGCACTTTCCAAGATCTACCAAATAATCAAAGTTGGTTGATTCTTTCGTTGGCCAACCAAAGACTCAAGCGTTTTAATAGACAGGCTTCGCAAAGACTGTAACCAATTCTATATAATTAAAATGAAATTCATAAATGGTAAGCCCTAAATACATATATTTGTCTTTTGATCGATCCAAATACAAAATATTTGTGTTTTCTTTGACAAATTCTTCAGCTTAGGTCAACGTGGAGGGTCTTACAGTCTTCATCTGTTACAACTTTTCTCGTTAATTCTGCAAATCATCTGCAAACGTCGACATATAGGACTCGACTTCTTTACGTTGAAATGAGAAATGGTATGGGTTTCAGCACTGATCCTTGAGGTGATTGATGAAGATTAAGCCACCCAAGAGGTGGCACGGGCATGAATAACCCGTAAGAACCTTGAGATTGATTGATTGATGATTGATAAAGATTAAGCCACCCAAAAGGTGGCACGGGCATGAATAGCCCGTAAGTGGTGGCCCTTTTGAGCCATTACCAGTATCAAGAGCTGATACTGGAGATCTGTGGAGGTGCGACTGCACCCTGCGTGACGGGAGATGTCTCCCGGAACCTTGAGGTACTCTCCATGTTACTATATGCCAGTCCGGCTTCTTGCCCCTCACTTACTCTTTAATTTCTGATTGTTACGAAATTCCCTACCCACTGTCAGGGCTTTTTCGTTTAATCTTTCATGTATTTGAAGTTTGTGTAGTAATCTCTAGTGAGGGACTGTATCAAAGGCTTTTTGGCAGTCCAGAAATACAACCATTGCTCTGCCTTATTTTCTTTACTTTATCATAGACCTCCAGTAGTTTCGTTAGGCATGATTTCCCTTATGTTGACCTGACCACACACTAGAAAGTGAAGGGACGACGACGTTTCGGTCCGTCCTGGACCATTCTCAAGGCGATTGTCTTGATTGTCTTTCTACTGTGTGGTCTGGCCAACATTTTTCAGCCACGTTATTGTGACTCCTCGTCTGCATGATTTCCCTTACTTAAAGCCATGTTGATGTTTGTTTACGTATTGAATTTTCTCTTGGTGAGTAACTAGTCTTATTCAGATTATTCTTTAGACTTCTTTGCAGAGGATGATTGTCATTGATATTGGTCTGTGGTTAAGTGCCTATTTTCTATCTCCTTTCTTGAAATTTGGTTCCACATTTGCCTTTTTCTGTCAGTTGGGTAATTCTCCCTTTGTAAGTGAATCACTTAAGATCAGTGCAAGACGAACGCTAAGAATCCGAGCGTTCGTCTTGCTGCTTTTAACATCCACGGTGACAAGTTTTCTGGGCCAATAGCTTTAATTTTATTGTTTTAGACGAAAGTTGTTTGAGACGTTATTTGTTTCTTCCTCTGCTGTTATCTCAATGTTTATCAGTCTCTCATCTTAGGTTACTGACTCTTCTAGCACCGGGAGCTGTTCAGGCTCTGTTGTGAACACCATGGAGATTGACATTTAGTTCCTCTCATGTTTCCTCAGCTCTTTCTGTGTTTTTCCCTCCCATTTTTCGTAATCTTATCTCTTCGTCGTTCACTGTCATTTTTCTTCTCATGTGACTGCAGTAGTTTTGGATATTTCTTAGCTTTAGAAAGAATATTTTAGTAGCTCAGCGATACGCTCTTATGTTTGTTCTTATTCTTGCCTCGGTTGTATCTATTCCCGTGTTCGTCTGTTCTTTAGCCGTATTTCCTCCAGTCCATCCTTTGTGTTTTGCTTCTTGTCACATTTCACACAAATACAGAGAGTTCACTATACCTGACTCGGATATTTCATCGACACCATTTTCAAAAATAAATAAATAAAAATTCTCTTCAATTCTGCAGAGAAATCATCCTTATTGCTATCAGCGAATCTCTCTTTCTCTCTTTTTCTCTCTCTCTTTCTCTCTCTCTCTCTCTCTCTCTCTCTCTCTCTCTCTCTCTCTCTCTCTCTCTCTCTCTCTCTCTCTCTCTCTCTCTCTCTCTCTCTCTCTCTCTCTCTCTCTCTCTCTGTCTCTCTGTCTCTCTCTCTCTCTCTCTCTCTCTCTCTCTCTCTCTCTCTCTCTCTCTCTCTCTCTCTCTCTCTCTCTCTCTCTCTCTCTCTCTCTCTCTCTCTCTCTCTCTCTCTCTCTCTCTCTCTCTCTCTCTCTCTCTCTCTCTCTCTCTCTCTCTCTGTCTCTTTCTTCTCTCTTGTACTTTTAGTTATTTTGCCATTCCTTATAGCTCAGTCGTGTAGTTTAAAGTAATTATGTCTGGCTCTTTTATTTATATTTAGATTTTTATAATGGCTGTTTCAATGCCGTTAGTTTATAATAGTCAACTATTTGTCGCACACGGTCTGTGTACATTGTTCTAAAAAATTTCTTGTTTAACTTCGCTACAGCAATTATTTTTCCTGATTGCCATGTGCTGCTGACATCAGTTTCGTAATGAGCCTAGAATCAGTCCAAGTAAACATGCTTAGAGTGCCATATTTAACTATTACAGAGAACATACACTATATCCATTTTGTTTTGCTTATCTGGCGATAATGATAATGTCATATACAGCTTGTTTGGGTATTTTTATCCATGCACTGCGAGCTTACAGTCCATTTGTACCCAAAAGAGAATATTTCCAGGCACACGCGTTTTCAACCCGTCACAAACACGTCTACACATCATCCAAAGAGAGGGAAATGAGAGTGAAATTATTCATACACAAATTCCCCG